GCCAGCCCCAGGAACAAAAGAACAGAGTCAGGATGTCTGATGGTAACCAATTAACCATGAGATGCCCCTCTCCAGAGATAAGATGACCAAACCCCGGAGAGGAGTTGTATAACTCCTGACAGGGCAAACAGATAAGCTAGAATAAGATCAAGTCCAGGCCCGGGAAAAACTGGACCAATCAAGGATAGACCCGTACTAACCTCCTCCCCTCTAAGAAATTTTATGGGTTTTGCCTATAAAAACTAACTTCCCCAAGAAAGAGTAACTCTTCTCTGCCTCACTTGAGATGGCTTGAGATGAGTTCCCTGTCATGACTTGTAACAGATAAACCTTGCTTTTGCATTCTGGTATGCTCGTCCTTGGTGGTCTCTCTGGGGGTTACAATCTGGGCACAACACTTTTAGCACAGAATTATATTGGGCATTTAAAGAGGAGCTAATACCAATACTCTTGTGTCTGGGACTATTGGGGTCCAGCCGCTAATAGTCTCCTTTCCAGGGTCCGCGGAAGAATCTATCAACCTGCTGAGAATCTATTCTTTAAGGTCGGCAAATCAATCTACGCACGAAGAGTTCTTTGGTCCATTCGCTTTAATTCTTTCTCTTCCTGGTACCTTCCTTTACAGTTATATATCTCCCGCAAATCACAATCCTCCCCTCTGCCCAGGACACTCAGTCTGAACTTCCTCAGGCAGTGATTATCAGCTATCAGGATCAAATGGAGGGCTGATAAGAATTCCAAAGAGGGGCACTAGTTGTTAATTACCATTTGCGACCCAAAGGGGAAGTGACTAATGAATTAACTAAAGGCTAAATACGGGTAATATCTAAGAAGAGGGATCTTATGTGCACAACTATAATCTTAAATGTGTTTAGTAAAAGATGTTAAGAATCTATAAGTTGCTAGGTCAATGGGAGAAAATAAAACTGTCTTCCTTTTTCCTGTGGCTCCTATCTGTCCAAGCTGTCTGCCATTTTCTGCAGGGTGGGGGAAAGTGTGCTCAGTCGCTAGGCAACCTGTGTACAGGTAGATGCCTCTGGTGATAGTTAAAGGGAGACCTGGAACTGGAGGTAAGATTTGGGAAAGGAGGAAGTTAAGCTTAATTAGCACATCCACCAGACCTTCTCAAACAGGTAGCCTGGATGCTTAAGTCTGTTCTTAGAGAGTACAGAGGTATCTCTGATAAGGTACTTCCTCCGTCTGGCCGGATGCTGCCAATGATGATAATTACAGGGAGGCTTGAACTGGGAGTTCTGGCTGAGCATAGCTGTTAGCACAGAATGTTATCTAAATATTCCTAGAAGTGGTTAGGTAAGTAGTTAGAGGTCTATAAAGTTAGTAAGGCTGTAAGAAAGGAGGGCCGAAGCTAAATTGTGTAAAGCTATTACTTAATGTCCACCTGACCTAGGCGGCGTCCCCTTGTGGAATTTACTGTAAGTCAGGAGACTTGTATGTGGGCTGCTATCACTGTTAGTCCTTAGAAGTTGGGCACCCCCCCTGGGCGGTGTCTCCTTGTGGAATTAATTCAGGAGACTTGCATGTGGGCTGTTACCATTGTTAGTCCTTCGGAAGTTGGGCGCCCACCTGGGTGTTGTTTCCTGTAGTCCTTGAAAGTGGCTAAGGGAGGTAATCTGATTCCAGAGAAAGCCTTTCCTGAGGCTGTTCTCCAAATTCCTGGAATGTGTATGTCTAGAGTGATCGGTCCATACAGTTAGCCCTTCTTAGGAAAAAATCAATTGGGAAAACTATGAAGGCACACATGATTTTCATAACAGAATACAGCTGATATATAACAAGCCAAGTAATACCAAAAACTCCTTGGGATTTGGCTTCCTCTGGAGGAATTCCCTGATTCCTCCAGGTAGTGACTTTGCCATAACCAGCTCAGTTCTTATGATATATTCCTGCAGCCTGCAGCACTATTGAAACTTTTCTGCCAAACAGAAACAGAAGGAATATTGCCAAATTCATTTTATGAGTCACAGTTACCCTGATATCCAAACCACACAAAGACTGAAAAAGAAAGAGAATTATGGAGATACTTCCCTCATGAACATTCATGTGAATATAGTAAATAAAATACTTAGAAACCAAATCTAAAAACACATCAAAAAGATCATCCACTGTGATCAAGTTGGCTTCATTTGAGAGATGCAGAGATGGTTCAACATATGAAAAACTGTCAATGCAATCCATCATATAAAAAAAACTGAAAGAAAAAAACATGATTTTCTCATTAGTTGCTGAAAAAAACCTTTGACAAAATCCAACATCCCTGTATCATAATTGTCTTAGAGAGATTAGGGATACAGGGGACATATCTAAATACAATAAAGTCAATTTTTAGCAAACCTTTAACCAACATCAAATTAAATGGAGAGAAACTCAAAGCAATTCCACTAAAATCAAGAACAAGATACGGCTGTCCACTGTCCCCATATCTATTCAATATAGTACTTGAAATTCTACCTAGAGCAATAAGACAACAAAAATAATTCAAGGGGATACAATTTGGAAGGGAAGAAGTCAAAGTTGTTTTGTTTTGTTTTGTTGCAAATGATCTGATACTATACATAAGGGACTACAAAAATTGTAGCAGGGAACTCCTATAGCTGATAAACACTTTCAGCAATGTAGCTGGATTGAAGATTATCTAAAAAATCAGTAGCACTCTTATACACAAATGGAAAATGGACTCACAAAGATCTCAGAGAATCAATTCCTTTCACAGTACCCAGAAATTATGTTGAATATCTTGGTGTTGTTTTAACATCAGCACAGTGGCTGTGTCATAAGCTACTGCTATCTCAGCAAACAACTGCAACTCCGAAGTTAGCAGCCTGCTTCCCTAGCAGGGGCCTGGCTGCTCAGGTATCAGCCTGGGCAGAATTTTGTTTCCTCAGGCACTGGCCCTGTGGCTGCCACTAAAGGTGGTTTCAACTAAATTTCTATCATTCTAATTATGAATAAGACTTGAGATTCAAAGGCTGAGAAGAAAACCTGCAAGTTCAGATAAGCAGAGTAGCAACTACCTAACCCTTTCTCCTTGCTAGCACCCACAGAAGACTCTTGCTTCCATTTCAACAAACTAGAAAAAGCTGCATCAATCCAAATGTCACCATTCTACTTCCTGTGACTCTCTCCCAGATGCCTTCTGAGGCTCTTTGATTACTTTTTGTCAACTAGTTGCTAATTCAGCCTACTGACCCAAGGTTATTTTTATTTAATTAACACAAATGCAAACTCAGGCTTCACAGTGTGATCAAATATTCCCCAACATCTTGGGGTAATTCTAATCAAGCAAGTGAAGGACTTGTATGACAAAAACTTCAAGTCTTTGAAGAAGAAAATTGAAGAAGATATCAGAAAATGGAAAGATGTCCCATGATCAGGGATCAACAGAATTAACATAGTAAAAATGGCCATCCTACCAAAAGCAATTTACAGATCAATTTACAGATCCCCATCAAAATTCCAATACAATTATTTACAGACTTTGAAAGAGAAATATTCAACTTTGTATGGAAAAACAAAACAAAACAAACAACAATAAAAAACAACCTGACCCTGTAGCATAAATCTTAAAAGGTCTTATTAATAAAAACAAACCCAGAGCCAGGTATTAGGGTGAATGATGAATGATCAGAGAAACAGAACAAACCACATCCAACCTCACCTTGCCAATTCCTCAGCTGATCTTGTTTCCTCAGACTGAAAGCCTCTGAATCCTCATCTGAATGGATCTCAGCTGAACTGCTGCTAAAAGCTAAAAGCTTAAAAAGGCTCTAGTTTCTGTAGCCCCCCCCCCCCTGCACCTTATTTACCTTTCTGCTTCCTGCCATCACTTCCTGGGATTAAAGGCATGAGTCACTGAGTCACCATGCCTGACTGTTTCCAGTATGGCTTAGAACTCACAGAGATCCAGACAGATCTCTGCCTCCAGAATGCAAAGATTAAAGGTGTGTGCTACCACTGCCTAAACCTATGTTTAATATAGTGGCTGTTCTGTTCTCTGACCCCAGGTAAATTTATTGGGGTGCACAATATATCAATCTCATGTCCCCTTATGTTATTATTGCTAGTATTTTTGTATCCATGGTAGAACAAAAACCAATACTTTATGAACTTAGATAACATTTGTGCTCAATATATCAACCACATGACCCCTTATGTTATTGCTACTAGTATTTTTTATATCCATGGTAGAACAAAATCTGATACTCCATGAACTTAGATAACATTTGTAGTTATGCCAAATACATATTTACCATTATCTGCAAATATGAAAAGAATTATAGCAGGTATCCATTAAATTGATTATCAAATAATATATCTTTAATATCAGTTATTCACTAAGTAAAGAATTCTCTAAATGTGTTTATTATACTACATTTTTGTATGATAATTTTTGTTTTAATCTAATAACAAATAATAGTAAATAATGCTTTAACCAGCCATCTATTTTCTTTTATTTCCCCCACACAAAGAAATTTAACTTATTTCTCTTACTCTCAGAATTTTCCAGTTCTTACTGACCTTTATTTTCTTTGATAAAAGATCTCAAAATGTGAATCTGATAATCCTTTCATGTCACCATTAATCTCATCTCTTGAATTTCCTTTCAAAACTTCCTTTAAATGAGTCTTTAAGGTCTTTACCTTCCAAAATTTATTTTATTTGTGTGTATGTGTGTGTTTAGTTAATGCTATCAATTTCGCTTTCTCTTTATCTTTTTCTTTGTCTGTCTCCATTTATTTTCTTATGTGACCTAAGGACAGAATGCTGTCTTCATTATTCATTGTACCCTCGGTGATTAACATTCTTTTTTTTTTTTTTTTAAAGTGGCCTTGTTTTCTCTTGTGGTAGTGAATGAATTTGTCCAAAGTACCAAATATTACCACAGTCTGGATTTTTCATGACCAACAACAAGAATACATAATTAGGGTCCTAACACTACAGTAATGGTCAGGTTGCCATAAGTTGTACCTAAGCCAGTGAAGGTCTGTTAGCACTCTTTCTGAGAGAATGAACTAGGTGCAGGTACAAGAAATCATTGGTCATGAATAAAAAAGTAAGACATTGGCTGCTGCCAGATAAGTTAAATAGTCATTACAAGGACATTTTGAACACCCACTTAGAGCTTCCCCTTCTATTTTATCATGGTAGAGATGCAAGCTGTTATAGTGCTACACTGCAGTTTAGATGTGAACTCTGAAAACGTCCTTATTTTTACAAAATGACATGTAGGACAACAGCATGTTTTTAGATGTTCATTATAAGATTTAAAAATAATAGTTCTTCCTTTGATAAATACATTTGTTCTTTACACATATATAATACATACTAATTTCTCTCATCTATACCATCTCCTGTCTCCTTTCCACCCCTTTTAAGGCCCCCTCTAAAAGGATCCCTCATAAAACAAAAGCCATAAAATAGTCTGAGTTTCAGGAAATCTGCTGTCCATTAAAAATACCCCAAGGCCCTGAAAACAGCAACTAACCTATCTCTTGACTCACAGTTTAGAAAACAACTAATTTAAAATCACAACTCATTTCTCCATTCTGTTCCTAAGGCAATCTCATTGCATCTTAGTTAGGGTTTCTATTATTGTGAAGAGACAACATGACCATGACTATTCTCATACAGGAAAACATTTAACTGAGGGACTTACAGTTTAGAGGTTCAGTCTATTAGCATTATAGTGGGACAGGGTGGTATGCAGGAAGACCTGGTACTGATGGGTTATCTAAGAGCTCTACATCTTGCACAGGCAACAGGAATTGGTCTGAGGTGTTGGGCATGGGTTAAATATATATGAGATCTCAAAATCTACCTCCACAGTGACACACTTCCTCCAACGATGCCATACCTACTCAGACAAATCCACTTCCTAATAGTGTACTCCCTATGAGCTTATGGGGGCCAATTGCATTAATACTACCACATTCCACACTCTGACCCCATAAGCTTATAACAACATCATAGTACAGAATGCATTCAGTCTAATAGTCTATCAGAGTCTCAACAATTTTTAAAATCCAAAGTTCAAAGTCTCCTCTGAGATTCATTCACTCTTAACTGCAATTCCCTGTACAGTAAAAACAAAACAAAATAGAAGACAGATCACACACTCCAACATATCATGACACAGGATATATAGTACTATTCTAAATCATAGGAATGAGAGAATAGTGAGGAAATATTAGATCAAAGCAAGACCACAAAACAGCTAGGCAAACTCTAAACTCAGCATCTTAATGTCTGATGTCAAAGAGCTCTTCCAACTCCTTTCAGCTTTGTTGACTGCAAAATACTTATTTCTCTTGGTCTATTTCCACTTCCTGTTAGCAGCTTTCCTCTTCAGGTATCCCACAGCAGTGGCATCTTCAACATTTTAGGGGCTCCAAGACAATCCAGCCTTCAACTTCATAGCTTCATGAAATGACCTCTCTAGGCCTCCATTCAGAGATCACCCTGATATGTGCTTGGCCTCATTTGCTTTCCTTAGTTTAGGAGGCAAATTCCATAGTTTCTTTATTTATCTTTGACTCCAGAACTTCATGGCCAAAGCTGCCAAATGCTACAGTTTTCTGGGTCTGGAACATGACCCCCCCTCATTGATTTACATCTTCACCAGCCTGCAGCCTGCTATCCATTTTTTACTGTAAAGAGAAGCTTCTCTAATTAAAGCTTAGAGTAGCCTTAGTAGACTATGGGTATAAACATACACATTTAGAAGTAGTTTGACATTATTATATCAGTTTTGTTAGACAACAGTAATAAATCCCTGTAGGGTCTATCTATAAATTCCTGGATATTTTTTTTCTTCTTAATTTATTTTCATTCATGAGTATCTTGTCTACCCTTATGTCTATGTACGATGTGCATGCCTGGTTACCCCCATCTCATGACAAATCTTTTAGACTAACCCTTTTATTTCACCTATTTGCTCTTTGGGTATTGGTCGTTCACTATATCAGCCAGTCTAGCAATAAATTATTGTTCAGCCTTAGCCTCTTATATTCCTATGATTACGTGCATGTGTGAGCTTACTTAGTCTAGAGTATGTCATGACCCTTATTTTTACTCACAGCCCACATCTAATTTTAATACACAAACATTTTCAATTATTGTTGCTCAACACATTAACTTAAGAATGATCAGCTGTGTGAGAATTCTGTTATTTGGACCAGTGACCTATGGGAACAGTTTGGCCCAATGGGCATGGTTTTCTTTGAAGTAATAGTGACCCTTTAAGAATTTGATAGGAGAGTGTCTCGCTCTCTCTTGGGCATGTAGGTGCAGGAGGGAGCAGCAGAGAAATGTGGCTGGCCGTTCGGCTCTACCTCCCCTGGGCGGAATGACAGCACAGCTACAGTTCAATCATCACTGTGCCTCAGCTCTGGTCTCTGTCCTGAATGCACCTATTTGATCACCTGTTAACAAACTTGATTATACTACAGAATTCAGTCCCACATTAATCAGTTTTTCTTAAAAGTTCCAAATATTTAAGGCAAGAAAAATTATATTTTTTGAAAAGACAACACATAAAAAATTTAAAAATTGAATGTACACAATATTTTGGGTATGATGGCTATTCTCACAATATTAAATCTTACTGAACAATGGGTATGGAGTGTGTTTTAGTTACTTTCCTGTTTCTGTAATGAAAGATAATGACCAAGGCAACATAAAAAGGAATGGTTTATTTGGGCTTATGATTCTAGGATAAGAATCAGTCACCACCATGATAGGCATGGTGCTACAGCAGCAAGCTGAGAGCACACACCTCAAACCCCAAGCAAGGTGCAGAGAGTAAAATGGGATGGTGTGAATCTTTAAATTCTCAAGGTCCACCTCTAGTAACACAGTCCTTCCCAAAATACCAAGCCCCTTATAACACCTCCAAAAACCACAACCAATGGCAGACCAAGTATCAGAACATCTGAGCCTATCAGATCATTCTCATTTCTCATTCACATTACCATATGAAGTCTATCTTCTATTACCTTATTAATATTTTTTTCAGTTTCTTAATATTTTCATTGTACAATTCTCTCATTCCCTTGGTTGGATTTACTTCAAGATATTTTTGAGGCTATTGTGAAAGACATTATTTCCATGATTTCTTTCTGAGAATGTTTGTCATTTTTATATAGCAATAATACTGGAGTTTGTTTTAATTTTTATCATACTACTGTGGTGGTATTGTGTTTGCCGAAATATTGTGCACCCTAACAAACTTATCTGGGGACAGAGAACAGCCACAATATTAAACATAGAGGATAGGCAGTGGTAGCACACACCTTTAATCCTAGCATTCCAGAGGCAAAAATCCATGAGTTGAAGGATACAGCCAAGCATGGTGACTCATGCCTTTAATCCCAGAAAGCGAGCCTTTAATCCCAGGGAGTGATGGTAGAAAGCAGATAGGTATATGACACGTGAGGACCAGAAGCATTTGGCTGGTTAAGCATTTGGCCTGGTTAAGCATCCAGGCTTTTGAGCTGGAATTCACCTGAGACCCATTCTGGATGAGGACTCAGAAGCCTCCAGTCTGAGGAAACAAGACCAGCTGAGGATCTGACAAGGTGAGGTAGATGTGGCTTGTTCTGGCTCTCTGATTTTCCAGTGTTCACCCCAATACCTGGCTCAGGTTTGATTTTATTAATAAGAACTTTTAAGATTCCTGCTACATACTACTTTACTGAATGTGTTTATCAATTATAGACATTTACTGGTGGACTCCTTTGGGTGTTTTATATATAGAACCATAGCATCTGCAAATAAGGATATTTTGAATTCTTTTTTTTCTATTTGTAATCCCTTTATCATTAAAACGGAATTACCCTATAAAAGAGTGACAATGTCCCACTAGAATCCACAGGATAATAAATAAAAAAGTATATTGTCAGAAATGAGCTACCACTTTTGGAGTCATTAGTCAGTGACACCCAGAGATGTCATTGCCAATGGAATTGCTTATCCTGTAGAATGTGAGAGTAAGACCTTCTGCTGAAGGCACTACATAGTTGAGAAATAGAATATGAAGAGATTAAAGTGGGGCTGACCTGGAACCTTCATCCTTTCTGGCTAGATATTGTAGTATTGGAAGGTGTCTTATACACTACCAGAAGAAAAAAGTACTCATTGATAATATCCATTTGTGAATCCTGTAAGTTACAATATTGACTAGGTTGGCAAGACATGTCCACTGATATGATTATCACACAGAGTTCATGGGAGTAAGCACTTTCTGATTGTGTTTACCTTCTGCCTTACAAGCTGGAACCCATTCCTGGCACCATTGTTGGACCAAGAACCCATGGCTCTATAAGTCATGCAGGAGAATGTATTATTATTATTATTGTTGTTGTTGTTGTTGTTCTAAATGCATATAACATTAAACTAATTAGTAATGACTTATGTTTATACCCATACACCAATCTCTCAACCCTCATTTGAGAAGCAGTATATGGTAAATAACACAGAAGCTTAAAACTTGTCAAGGTGCAGAAAATAAGAGACTGAAGATGGAATTTTTTAAAAAGCACACAAAGTTGGTGAGGTAGAGAGAGGTGATAGTTCTTGAAGAAAATGTGGAGAAGGTGAAAAATGATCAAAACATGCTGCAGGAAATTCTCAAATAACTAATAATCTTTAAGTTTAAAAATGTATAAACAGTTAATTGAATGTTAAGTGTTTTTTTTTTGTTTTTTTTAAAGAAATTAGTGCTCAGAGCAAAATAGAAAGCCTGTGAAGATAAGAGTCACCAGATTTTGGTAGTTCTCCAGATTTCCATTTATTGGCCTTGGAAATTTAGGGCAAGGTTCTCAAATATAAAAAAAGGAGAGAAATTATTCTTATTTCTTATTACTACTACTATCATCTGTATTTCCCTAAAATCTTCTAGTTTTTGTAAAGTCTCAGGAGTGGGCCAGTATGTTTTTCAGTAGACCACTATATCCATAATGCACCGCCAAGTACAATGTATTATTTCTGGCTATCTAGTCCATGAAAGTATTACTCAGTAAGTCATCTATGCCAAAAACCATGTTTTTCTCTGATAATATATTTAATTACCAAGAACAGTGGTTTTCAATCTTCCTAATGCTGCAAGCCCTTACTACAGTTCCTCATATTGTTGTGACCCCCAACCATAAAATTACCTTCATTGATACTCCATAACGGTAATTTTGCTACTGTTATGAATTGTAATGTACAAGTTTTTGGAGATAGACATTTGCAAAAGGAGCCGTCACCCAGTTGAAAACCACTGACCTAGACCATCAATCTAATCCATTATGATCATAGTTCTTATTTTGTAAGTAACAATCTCATAAAACAATTTTCTTCTTGACTTACTTTTATGTCTTTACATTATTAAAAATATGAGAGAACATCAAGGTTAGACAATTGAATTCATAACCTTAGGTATAGAATGCATGCGTGTTTACACAGAAAGACTTTCAAAGGAGACCTGAAAAACTACCTGGAAATGTGAATAATCCATGCCATATTACTGTGACTATTTAAAATACTGGTAGAATGCTGGGTAAATTTTTTTTTAGTTTGTACATTTTCCCCGGCTGTCTACTTCATTTGTTTCTTACTAATATGTTCAAAATCAGTATTTCAGACATTTTGTTCATATAGAGAGTTTGTTTTGAAAGTTTACAAATATTTTGTACAATTTTTCATATTTTACATGATGCAAAATATGTAAGCCTGCCAATTGTATTAAATTACACAAATATTATTCTGCCTGTTAAAAATCCAAAGAAAAGAGTTGATGTTAAGTGTTTACTGCATGTGCCAGACTAGACTAAACTAGCACATTATAATTCTAAATATTGTTGCATTTGCTTATCATCTGCTGGAAACAGTAAATAATGTAAGGATTTATGTGTGTTTTGCTGTTTCTGAATTTAGAATAAGTAGCTTTATATGATGGCACCAATAGTGTATGTCCAAAGGCCAAATGCAAGATTTAAACGTTTTCTCCAATACTCCTTAAAAATACTTTTGCTTCACTTAGTAGAATTTAAAATGATGCTCATGAATTCATACACCTTTTCTGCCTGAGGAGAGAGATAAATTGATTGATTTACATATTTATTAAATATATCATACCAGGATGCACAAACCTGCAAAATTTCTTGTCATCTACAGGGTCACTTTTGTTACATCTAGTTATTAAATGAAAAAAATAAGAAGCAAAAGTTGACATTAATTGAGTATCTAAAACAAAGCAATATATGATGAGTGCATAGATATTCTATGCACACAAGTAACACATGAAAGGTTTTAAGGAATCTCAAACTATATGTTTCCAATTTAAAATGTTGAAATAACTTTTAATGCCTGAATTTTGTTAAACATTAGACTTAAATTTTATCTCTAAAATATTACTTCAACATTCAAGGAAAAGAAATGTAAGAGGTATAGTTTTACTTCTTAAAAATGTTTAGTTCTATGGATATCATGACTTAAACTTAATTTCAGCAACCAAAAACAATGTGTCTTCTTTTTTTTTTAATTTCTGCAAAACAAAATGCATTAAATTAAAAAGTATATACAATTCTACAAAATACAAATTCAAAAGCAGACTAATTCTATAAAAGCTGTGTATAATTCTGAAATTTTATTCACTTAGATTTTTAAAAATTTGTTATTACTACATATTTGTGTCCCAAAGTGATAATGACATAATGATATTTGTATTTCAAATACATTACATTATTTAACTATTCAATTCCATTACACTCTCATGCCTCTGTGATTTTCCTGATAGTTCCCTCTCTTCTCCCAATAGTTTCCTTTTTATGGTACTATGTAATTAATTCAAATTAAATAAATGCAAATTAAGACAACTCTATGATTTCCTCTTACACCAGTCAACATGGAAAAGATCAACAAAACAACTGACAACAACTGCTGAGGTGGTTGTGGAGAAAGGAGTAGCCTCTTTCTCTATTGATATGAATAGAACTTGCTGCAGGCATTCTTAAAATCAGTATGAAGACTCCTCTAAAACTTAAAAAGGAATATACCATATTACTCAGCTGTCCTACTCCTTGACATGTTCCAAATAAGACTCAGCATCCTTCCCAACAGACACTTGCTCTGCCATGATTATTGCCACTCTGTTCACAATAGGTAAGAAATATAAATAACCCTAAGTCCTTCCAATGATGAATGAATTATGAAAATTAGGTAGGTATACACTACTGAATAATGTCCAGCTGTAAAGAAACCTTAAATCCTGAAATTTACTGGTAAATTGGTGGATCTAGAAAATATTATATTGATATAGGAAACACAAATCCAGAAAGAACAGACTGTACATGTTCTCTCTCATCTGTGATACCTAGCTTCAAATGTTCATGTGTCAGTATACAACATGGAGGAACAGCAGACTCCAGGAATGTATAAAGCAATCTTGGAAAAAGAAGGGGGTTGAGAAGACAGCAACAGGAAACAGGCGATGAAGCAGAAATAGGGAGAGGGACTCCAAATGGAGAAAAAGGTGGGAGATCAATACAGAAGGAGAGACAACTAGTACCAAGGATGTTCGCTATAGTATCAAGGAATCTTAGTATTTTATACTTACTAAAATTGTACGCAATGTCTATAGGTCTGTATAAATGCATACACACATACACACATGCACACACACACACACACACACACACACACACATTTAAAGGAAGTTATGCCACCAGGACTACAATGCTCTCCATAAGAATTTTAGGTTTTAACTGGAGACATTCTCAATATTTAAGTTCTGTAGACAAAGGGGCATGTCGAGATGATTCTGCAGTTTATCACTGTGTCTTCAGCATTGGCACTTAGTAAACACACTGTTAACATCCATTGAATGAACAACTTTTAAAATGGAAAAGATTAGTTGTAAACTATCATATTTGATTACATTAAATAGAAGACATGGCTTAGAGTGTTAGCATTAGGAATAAAAATTAAAAGTGGAACACACAAGATAAACTCAACAGAAAATTGCAGGTAAACAAGAACTTCTTAAGCTCTACTTTACATTGAGGCAGATAACAGAAAAATTTACTTGAGCATGGAGTCCTTAAATGCTTAATTACAAGATGAAGTGGATGCACTTGAGCAATGTAGTGCCTATGTAAAGCTATGAAACAAATTCAATAAGTCTGAGAATTTGGATATTCATATATATGTTATTATTGCATTATATTATTTTATATACATAATATACAAACATATGATATATAAATATACTTTTAATTTTTAATTCTTTCATAAGGACAAATGCAACATGTACCACCCAGAAAATAGTCACAAATATTAGCATACCAAATAACATAATTTAGACTCTCTAAACAATGGATGCAATTCAAATATCTTGAATTATGCAAACATACTGTTTTTATCTTTTCTAATACAAAAATCAGGATAATAATAGGAGATACTTCATAGGAAAATTTCCCCTGAGGACTAAATGAATCGATAAATGTGAAACATTTAGTAGAAGGCAGAAATAATTGTGCAAATATTTGCAATGTTGTAGTATGATAAGTATAATTAATTCAGTAGTATACTTTTGGTGAATATTTGTTTGTCAGCTATTACTGAGACTGCACTACTAATAAAATTTGCAGCCTCTATTTGGAAAACATAGCATACTTTCCACCCTACTTTTATTCCTTTGGACTTGGGTTATATTTTTATTAAGACAATTGTCTGGGATTGGAGAGATGTCTCTTCTGTTAAGAGTACTTGTGATTCTCCCAGAGGAATTGTTTCCATGCCTCACATTGGGTAGCTTAAAATTGCCTGTAACTCTAGATCTAGAATATCTGATACTCTCTTTAGCTTCTTTGGGCACCTACAAACTCTCTCTCTCTCTCTTTCTCTTTCTTTCTCTCTCTCTCTCTCTCTCTCTCTCTCTCTCTCTCTCTCTCTCACACACACACACACACACACACACATACACATACACATTAAGAGGATAATCCACAATGACATCAATAATCTCTCTGTTCATATATATATAATTTATTATTATTGTGTGTATATTATATATGTGTATGAATGTGTGCACATGTCTGCCATGGTATGCATGTGGAGATTAGAGGATAACTTTCAGGTATTGGTTCTGTCTTCTATCTTCAATCCTAGGAATAGAATTCAGGGCCAGAGATCTATATGGCAAATGTTTTTATACACAGAGAAATCTTTCCAGTGAGAAATGACATTTTGAGTGACTTTTCCTATGGGAATATAAACAATTAATGCTTTGTCTTCTAAAATAGTATCATATTACAAACAATTTTCTTGCTTGATTAGGACATATTTATTATGTGAACTTAATTAGGCATCAAGTCATTGATCTTTTTTTATTTTTGCCAACACTGAAAAGTGATTTAGGTTATTCATATGGGAAAAAAGAGAGGTTATGATGTGGGAGTTTAGAGAACGTTTACCATACTTAATGATTTACCTTATCATACTAAGCCATTATTTAAGCACTGCTTAGAATACAGCTATTCAGAAAAATATACCTTTGACTATACTCTCATAGATATATATTATATACTCTGTTGTACAAATATTCAGTAGTTCAATTTTCCAAAACTATTATTTTTAGGTAGAATTACAGTTTCTAAAAAAATGAATGTGGAAACAGCCAGTTTGAGTCCTATCTCATATTTTTGAATCCTTTCATTTTCTCAGATGAAAATGGATATGATGGCGATATGAATGTCAAAAGGCTAATGTAAGAATTGAGTTAATGCACATGAATTTTGAAATATTTAAAGAACTTTCTTTCATTATTATCCCTGTTTTATTTTTAAAAATGATTACAACTTGATGCCATTTTGAAGTCTTTACCTTGTTATTTTTGTGGTATTTCAGAATGCCAATTTTAGATTTTTTATTTAAATTTTTTATTCATTTAACAAATCAACCACAGATTATCCCTCTCATCCCTCCTCCTGCTCCCTCCCAGCTTCCTTCCCAGCCCCCATCTCCTCCTCCATAAGGCTAAGGCCTCCCATGGTGAGTCAGCAAAGCCTGATACATTCAATTGAGGAAGGACCAAGCCCCTCCTCTTGCATCAAGGCTGAGCAAGACATTCCACCATAGTTAGTGGGCTCCTAAAAGCCAGCTCATGCAACAGAGATAGATCCTGATCCCACTGCCAGGGGCCCCTCAAACAGACCAAGTTACAAAACTGTCTACCATATGCAGAGGGTCTAGTCCAGTCCCGTGCAGTTTCCACAGCTGTCAATCTAATGTTTTTAAGTTCCTACGGGCTTGGTTTCCTTGTCTCTGTAGATTTCACTACCTTGGTCTTAACCACCCTTGCGCATATAATCCTTCTTCCCTCTCTTCAACTGGACTTCCAGAGCTCGCCTTGGTGCTTGGTTGTGGATCTCTCCTTCTGCTTCCCCCAGTTACTGGATCAAGGCTCTATGATGACAGTTAAGATATTCACCAATCTGATTACCAGGGTAGGCAAGTTCAGGCACTCTCACCACTATTGTCAGTAATCCAATCTGGGTTCCTCCTTGTAGAATCCTTGGAATTTCCATAGCACCCATTATACCATAATGTCTCCCTCTATTAAGAAATTTCTTTCATTGCTTTCCCACTCTTTCCCTCCCCTAGCTCGATCATCCCACTCCCTCAAGTTTTCATCCTCCATACCCTCCCCTCCTTTGTCCCCCAGTTTACTCATGGAGATTTCATCTGTTTCCCCTTCCCAAGGCAATCCATGAATGGCTCTTAGGGTCCTCCTTATTTCCTAGCTTCTTTGGAGCTATGAGTTGTAGTCTGACTATCCTTTGCTTTACATCTAGTATCCACTTAGGAATGAGTGCATACCATGTGTGTCTTTCTGAGTCTGGATTATCTCACACAGGATGATATTTTCGATTTCCATCCATTTCCCTGTAAATTTTATGATGTCATTGTTTTTTAATAGCTGAGTAATACTGCATTGTGCATAAGTATCACATTTTCTTTATCCATTCTTTGGATGAATTAAAAGAAGGCATCTTCAACAAATGGTGCTAGCATAATGGAATGTCAACATGCAGAAGATTGCAAATGGATCCATATCTGTCGCCATGCACAAAACTCAAGTCCAAGTGGATCAAAGACTTCAACATAAATCCAGCTACACTGAACCCAATAGAAGAGAAAGTAGGAAGTAGGAATGCATTGGCGTAGGAGAACACTTCCTAAATATAACACCAGTAGCACAGACACTGAGAACAACAATTAATAAATAGGACCTCCTGAAAATGAGAAGCTTTTGTAAGGCAAAGGACATGGTAAATAAGATAAAATGGCAGCCTATAGAATGGAAAAAGATCTTTACCAACCCCACATCTGACAGTTGGCTAATATCCAGAATATATAAAGAACTTAAGAAACTAGACATCAAAATACCAAACAGTCCAATTAAAAAATGGGCTACAGATCTAAGCAGAGAATTTTCAACAGAAGAATCTCAAATGGCTGAAAAACATTTACATAATTGCTCAACAAACTTCGTCATCAGGGAAATGCAAATCAAAATGACTCTGAGATAACATCTTTTATCTGGTAGAATGACTAAGGTCAAAAACACTGATGACAGCTTATGTTGGAGATGTGGAGCAAGGGGAATAATCCTCCACTATTGGTGGGAATGCAAACTTGTACAGCTACTTTGGAAATCAGTATACTGTTTTCTCAAAAAATTGAAAATCAATATGCCTCAAGACAAAATGATACCACTCTTGGGCATATACCCAAGTGATGTTCAGTCATACCACAAGGACTCTTGCTGAGCTGTGTTCATAGCAGCATTATTCATAACAGCCAGGACCTGGAAACAATTTTTGATTTTTCAATTGGCTTTAAAAGTACATGAGTATAATATTTTCCCAGTGTTAACAATAGAATTTCCATATCTCTTATACAATTGACAGGTTCTTTTTCATTCTGACAACTGTGTTTCTTTCATAGTTTCTGTAATTTTGCCAATTATCCAATGGTATAAAACTACAGAAAGATCTATTCACAGATGTCTTTGTCTATTGTGAAAAGGGCTAGTATTTGAGGGAAGCAGTTATGTTAATTTTTGTCATTTTAAATAATTTTTAAAACTTTTACAAACATACTAGAAACCTGTTTTATTGATTATATCATATGATAGATGAATAATTATCCAATGTGCTTGTAGTAAATATCTCACATTGGGAGCCTTAAAACATTGATTATTATGTCAAAATATTTTAGGTGATTATAAGCTTAATTTCCATATAGATGAACATTTTTATCATTATTATTCAAAATGAGTATGTTTGATTATTGACATTGGTAGCATTTAAATTTCCCTATGTAGAAGCTGATTTCTTTTTTAGGGGTAGGGCTTTTGAGCCAGGGTTTCTCTGTGTAGCTTTGGAGCATATCCTGGAACTTGCTCTGTAGACCAGGCTGGCCTCAAACTCACAAAGAACTGCCTTCCTCTGCCTCCCCAGTGCTGGGATCAAAGACATGTGCCACTACCGCCTGGCAGTAGAAGCTGATTTCAACTGTTAAAATACAATCTCTTTTTTGTGCATGCAAAATCTTTTGTATAGTATTTCTAAGTTTCTCTTCTTAAATGGTTTAATTAATGATAGGAGAGATGTTTATGCTGGGGTTTTCTTTCTGTATACTGTGAATGTGTTGCTCTGATTGATTGATAAATAAAATGCTGATTGGCCAGTAGCCAGGCAGGAAATTATTCCTTATGATGTTCTCTTATATTCATAGATTGGAGATTAGTCCAATTGTCATTAGAGAGGTATCCTCTGGAAGATGATGGGAATGGGTGTAGAGATCTATAGTCAGATATTAGGTTGACAGAGAGCCTAGGGTTGGAGGTCTCCATTAGGCCCTCCCTACAGAGCTCAGCAAATCCCATGGAAGAGGGAGAGGAGGAATTGTGGGAGCCAGAGGGGTTGGCAACAAAACAATTAACTGTGCAGGGCTTATAGTAGCTCACAGAGAATAAAGTGGCAACCACAGTGCCTGTATGAGTCTCTAGTAGGTTCTCTGTGTATATGTTATAGTTGTTGTCTTGGGACAACTCCTGACAGTGGGAGTGCAGGTGTCTCTGACACTTTTGGCTGCTCTTAAGACCCTATTACTCGTACTTGGTTCCCTTGCTCCACCTTGTTGTGAGGGTTTGTACCTGGTCTTATGGTATCTTGTTGTTTGATTGGTGTCCCTTGGAGGCCTGCTGATTTTTGAGGGAAGACAGGGGTGGGGAGCAGGGGTGGAGGTAGATCTTGGGGAGAGGGAAGGTAAGGGTAACTGGGAGGAGTGGAGGGACGGGAAGCTATGGCTGGGATGATTTGTATGAGGGAAGAATAAGTAATTTTTTAAATCTCCATAATAAAGACTTCAAGACACTGAAGAAAATAACGGAGAAAGATACTAAAAGATGATCATGTATCAGAAAAATAAATCTTGTGAAAATGACCATATTATAAAAAC